ATATATATATATATATATATATATATATATATATATATATATATATATATATATATATATATATATATATATATATATATATATATATATATATATATATATATATATATGTGTGTGTGTGTGTGTTCGCACGCAAAGATGACCAAGGCAGAGTAGTAGTCTTGACTTGGGCAATAACTGGTTAACTACCATCTATTCCGCCATGGCCACGAGCCGCTGGTAGCGCATATGAGTGGTTGGAAGTGTCTATATTTTTCAATGCCTGTGTTCTTTGGTTCATTTTCCTTATTATTGGATATACTGGCTGGTTTTGAGTTATCGTTAAGGCCAACATGTTCGACGGTATATAGGTCACGGAGGTTCCCCTAGCTCCATTTCCGTCTACAGCGGCGTCTACAGTGCCATACTAAAAAGATTTCGATATTTGCATTTACATAATGCAAGTTCTTGTTTTCTTATTTTATATTTTTTGTTGAATTGGGGAGGGGTACTGGGTCCCCCCTCCCCAGAGAATTTCTATGGGTCTTATTTTGGTATTTAGACGATCACTCCAAATGCAATTTAAGCAGTAGTCCTCCTTTTGTTACCAAAGTTTCAACATACGGGTATTTTGATTTCAACTAGGCTCACAATGTTGTACAAGATCAAAAATGGGCTGGTGCACTGCTCCGGAATCAAACAGAAACTCGTTCATCTTCCCCCCAGACTGCGACGAGGCCACGACAGACAGTTCCGGCTGGTAAAAACAATAACAAAGTACAGGAGCTCCTCATTCCTGCCGAAGACAATAGGGGACTGGAACAAGCTTCCAAAAGCAACAGTTTAGGCGTTTACACTCGACACATTCGTGTCTATTGCCTCCTGTATTCCAACCCCCAGTTCATAACACCACTGCTGAGTGTGGCCCTAGCAAACTCGAATCCACTCGCCCACCCAGCACGTTAACAGTTTAATAATTCATAATTGAAAGGAATGTGTGCCCGGTGTTGTTCTTGTGAACTGGTATAAGAGTCATTACCTTGACAACACCACAGACACACGCATATCCATTCTCGACGATTGTGTCATTCTATAAATCAGGATTGATGGTGTCGATGGAAGCGGGACAACCCGTAGATGTTGACTAAGGCAGTGTGGGCCACATTCGTCCTTAGCGGCTTGTAGGTGCGTGTTGTTCTTTGAAAATATATCTCTATAAGACTGACACTGTGCGGTGCGTTACGATGTAACTATAAATAGATTGGGTCCACACACTCGGTGGGACTGCGGTTCAGGAAACACCGCCTGCCGTTGTTGTTTTTTGTGGGTTTTTTTTCTCGTTGCTGTTTGGCGGGAACCAGAGGCGTAGCTTAGGGGGTGGCCGGGGGGGGCGGCAGATGTCCCCGGGCGCCAGCTAGTTAGGGGCGCCAAAATGTGCTTTGATATTATTTTATTGATGAAAATAAAGGGTTTGAGAGTTGAAAAAGAAAAAAAAGAAAAAAAGGGCGCTTTAAAATGGATCTTGTCCCCGGGCGCGAATCTTGTCCCCGGGCGCCAACCCCCCCCCCTCGCTACGCCTCTGGTGGGAACTGTGGCTGGGTTTCCAGCAGACGAGGAAAGCCACTCCTAAGTAGGTCAGGGCTATATCCGCAGTGTCAGCTGCCCTAATTACAAGAGGATGCCCCATTTAAATAAATACCCCCACATTTCATTCCTTCATAAGAACCTAGTTGAATACGATTTACGAGAAGAAGACGAAAATAGGTTGTTTTCCCACTGTGTTGTGTATGGCGGCTTCAGCCAATATCTTATTTACAGCTCTCTTCGTCGTCCTCCCCCACTTCTCTTCCCCCCCACCTCTTTTATTCTCACCCCCCCCTCTTTTTTTATCTCCGCCCCCCTCTTTTTTCTCCCCCCCCCTTCCCGCCAAATCTTATGAAGTGCAAAGTGTGAATTTAGAGGACCCGTCGTGTTAATTTGTAAACGTCACCGATTCAACGCCCGTTTGATTCGACGTCTGCTGTGCTGCGTGGGAAACTTCCTGTTCTCTATCAAAGACTCGTTTTTTTATTTTTTATAGGATAACATTTCTATTATTTTCAATTTGCTCTTTTAGAGAACTACACCATGCCCAGGAATTTGACTGCAGGGAGGAAGAGACCGGCTCAGTCAACTGAGGTAATGTACACACATCATTGTCTTATGTCATCTTCACATCACCAAAGAAATTATAAGATATGTGTATCTATATTTCTTTTTTTAAATTTAATGTTTGACAATTTCAACTAAAGGGGGAAAAAAGGTGTCATTCATTAAAATTAAAAGAATCTTTAATATAAAAATCGTTCTCCGCACATTCCTTTCAGTAATTTAATTTAGCGAGTCACTGGGCTCTTTAAAAAATTGATTGTACAATGTGTGGCGTTTTACGTGTGAATCACCAAACTGTCCCGAAGGTAAGCTCACCAGATTTTCTGGATGCCAAGTACGGACACAAAGGATCACAGCAACATGAGGAAAAAAAAAAAAAAAAAAAAGGGGGGGGGGTAGAAGGGTGGAGGGAAAAAAAGGGTATTGTAAATGGTTTGTAATATCCTTCTTTACACCCTTTTGCTACAAACTTTTGTGGATATCTTGCAGCCCATGAATAGCTTTAAAAAAAAATTCCATTCTCAAGACGCTTTTCATGAAATTGAGGACACGTTAAATCAGCAGTTCTCAACCTGTGGGTCGCGACCCCTTTGGGGGTCACACGACCCTTTCACATGGGTCACCTAAGGCCATCCGAAAACAAGTATACTCCACAGTTATAAAGTATTATTTTCGTTGGGGGTCGCCACAACATGAGGAAGTGTAATTGAAGGGTCGCGGCATTAGAAAGGTTGAGAACCACTGCGTTACATCAATGTTTTCACTGAACAATCAAAATATCTCTCAGCGTCCGAGTGGTAACTTTCAGAAACGGTTCCCATTGCGATTGAGCGCTGTTTACATGGGAGAAAGTTCGCCCCCCCCCCCCCCCCCCCCCCCACAGTAGCTTGTTCTTATGACAGGAAGGCTGAATTAAAAAACTCAAGCTGTAGTTGCAATTGTACATTTGCACCCAGTTATTTGAACGACACAAAATGTCTTGCGAGTCCCATTCTTCCTGCTCAACAGGTGGCAAAAATTGTTTGACACACGACATGTTAACTTATTAAAGAGATGGCTATCCACAATTTGTCCTGGGACGATTTCATGTAACATGCAAAGATTAGTCTCACACGGTTTTATTCGTGTACATCAGTAATGCGTGGGTGAACGAGAACGATTGCGCACGATTGCGTTGAAACTATTACCTGCGCCGACGTTTGCGGAGAGATGAGATGACACAAAGTAAATGGAAATAAGGCAAGTAGGTCGTCGCTGCTAAAAGTACGGACAAAACGGACGAAGAGTGCATTGTACGGGCAAGACAAACGACGAAGTGAATTGTACGGGCAAGACGAACGACGAAGTGAATTGTACGGGCAAGACGAACGACGAAGTGAATTGTACGGGCAAGACGAACGACGAAGTGAATTGTACGGGCAAGACGAACGGCGAAGTGAATTGTACGGGCAAGACGAACGACGAAGTGAATTGTACGGGCAAGACGAACGACGAAGTGAATTGTACGGGCAAGACGAACGACGAAGTGAATTGTACGGGCAAGACGAACGACGAAGTGAATTGTACGGGCAAGACGAACGACGAAGTGAATTGTACGGGCAAGACGAACGACGAAGTGAATTGTACGGGCAAGACGAACGACGAAGTGAATTGTACGGGCAAGACGAACGACGAAGTGTATTGTACGGGCAAGACGAACGAGGAAGTGAATTGTACGGGCAAGACGTACGAAGAGTGAATTGTACGGACAAGACGAACGAAGAGTGAATTGTACGGGCAAGACGGACGACGAGTACGGACAAATATGGACGAGTGGAAAGTACGGACAAATATGGACGAGTGGAAAGTACGGACAAATACTGACGAGTGGAAAGTACGGCCACATACGGACAACGAGTGGAAAGTACGGACAAGCCGGACGACGAGTGGAAAGTACATAAAATACGGACCCAAAATTTAGTACGGATAAGGGTGTCGTAAATACAAACTGTTTGTACTAACTAATGTCATCTGGTAACTGTCACAGAACGGTTGTTACGGAGGAGGGCTCCGGTCCTGACTTGTCACAAACTATATCGACTTAGTAGTGGTCAGTACAGGACCGCTCCTCTCTGTGATTTATATTGTGGGTATCTAGGCGTTGAGACAGACAAAAGCACAACGTAGACTTGGACGAAAATCAAGCAACTCAAACTTCAGGTGTCCAATAATAATGAAAATATGTTTATTTCTAAGATAGAAGTTCTTCTGTAGTCTTCACTAACTGTCAGCTGTCTAAATGATTCTCTAAAGCTGTGACTGTTCAACTTTATCCTTTCAACTAGTCTTATGTCAAACTAGTCAACTGACGTCTCCTGATCTCTCTCGACTGTCCTACATCTACACTACTGATATACCTCTCACCTGCTGCTATACCTCTCAACTGCCGCTGTACCTCTCCACTCCGCTGTACCTCTCAACACCCCTGGATTCTCGATTTCCCCAAACTATAATGTCTTCCCTCTACTACCATAAACTCTGCCGATGGCAGGCTAACAATTCCCTAATCTATTGTACCTTTGTGCGGCACCCACGCCCATGGCTCCCGTCTCCAGCATGGTCATTTGTGACCAGTAACCCTTCCAAAGGCCCCATCACTAACAATTAAGTACAACATGCGACGATAATTGTAAGATCCCCAGAGTTGAAATAATAAGAACGTTCTTGTACTTTACCTAGACGTTAGAAAATGACGAGGTTTACCTTTCTCGGACGGGTAGCTACCCATGTCAACTCCCGTTTCTACTAATAATGTTACATCCTCTTTTGGGCTGCGATTCAATCTCTTATAGCCCTGACCATTATTGTGGCGGCCTGCCACATCTGGTGGGCGTCGCCGTAAATTAGGCCTCAGGTTCACGACCCTCTGCCCCCTTTTCACTAGTGGGACAAGCAACCACTAGTTGGGCCATTGTCTCCTCTGTCTGGCCACACAATTGACAGTTTGGTTCCCTCCGGTCGTCAAGTCTATGGAGGTAGCTGCGCCTCGCGCAATGGCCCGTCCTCGTATGGGTGATGGGGCTGTGGTCGCCTCGCTTTAGCTTCCACCAGGGGTCGCTCTTGCTCGGTCCCGGCATTTTCCGATAAAGCTGTCGTCCAGTTTCTCCTGCGGCCAAATCGCTTAGCCCCTTTTCCCTGAAGTGGGCTTCTAGTCAAGCTGTGAGTCATTAAGTTTTTCGGGTTGCACCTGGGCTGGGACTTCTTTGGCTAAGAAGTCCGTCCTGTCGTGCTGCGTCAGCTATACGTCCCCAGCGATAAACTGCAGGGTTAATATGGCGCCTTTGGCATGGGTGCTACCAACTGTCTCCAAAATGGTGTTTACCATCGTGCTTTCCGTAGAGCCCCGCCCCGACATGCTCAAGAGCTGAGCGTGAGTCGGTGAAGACCATGACGTCAGGAAAGTTTTCCCTCTTAGCTAGGCGTTGGTGAACTCTCTTTAGGAGAACCGGAATTGCCTTGATCTCCACATTAAGGCTTGTTCTACTTTTCCCACTGGGTCCGGATAACTCCTCTGGTGTATTTCTACTAACTAACTTACTTAAGAAACACAGCAAACTATCGAGCCAGAGCTCATAAAGTCTTCCCCAGTGCCCTACCCCCGCAAACCCAACCGGCCTTCAACCCCTCCCACAGTGGTCTTTATTCCAGTCGGGCTGCGCAGCGGCACGCCTGGGACATTCTGCCCCTGGGACAGCCACACCCAACCCCACCCTTCCACTCTATTGACTAGGCGAGTGAGGAGGCATCAGAGAAGGAACACCTGGCGGCCGGGGTGCTGCTCGCACAGCAACCGGGCCGGACTTTCTAGGGGCTGGAGGTGGATATATTTAACGTCTCTATGTACCCCCTTCCCACCCTGGGGGGGGGGCGCGTAGGTGTTGAACAGACGCCCTCTAATAGGGTTTACGTGGTGTTCTGTGGTGTGACTAACTCACACCACAGGTGGGAGAGAAAAGGTTGCCTAGGAGCAGTACCCTCAAAGACTGCATGTTTAGAATCACCGGTGAGGGTCGCTGCGCTACCTCACCTCATATCTATACGGCAACCGTAAGCATGTCCGTGTGTTTCTACCAGATGGGTTAATTTATCAAGTGATTTCACACATTGTAATACGTCGTACGAGCATTGAATCAACTCAAGTCATTTATCACAATAAATGTAACTTTAATACCAAATTACATACTTTAATTTCCATAAGCACATGGCTATAGCGTAGCTCGCTATCAGACAGAAATAAAACACATTCTACTTCCACAAAGTTCCATCCACGACTGCCTGACGAATGAAACATGTAAGTCACAAAAGAGACAAGGCAATACGTCATTAATGAGCATGAAAATACGTCAACAAGTCAAGCGTGGGAAGAGCGTTCAGTAACTTATAAATATCTCAAAAAACGCACCGCGCCTAATGAAATAGAATGTCCAGTCGCAACAATTATTATTGAACTGCCATACACGACAAATGACCAAACTTACCCGAAGGCCCCATCACTAACAGTTAAGTACAACCCTTAAAACAGGCTGAGTTTCAACCAAGTTTGCCAAAGAAGAAGAAGGAGGAGGAGGAGCAACAGGAGGAGCATCAGGAGGAGCAGAGACTAAGACTCAGACGCCACCAAAGACGACGCATGGCTGCACGGGAGGGGCGGGTAAGTATATTAATTGCTAGAGTTGTAAATTAAGTTATAAGTAGTCCATTCGGATTACGGCGTTGTTAATCCCATTTTCATTAGGGTATAATTCGGTTAACTATTTCCATGCCAGCAATAATGGGATGCATTTAGTCAAGCTGGTGACTTTATCACTTCATTGAATGAATATGTGGTGTAACAATTACCTGTACCTGGATTGAGAACGTACAAATTACTGAGAAGTCAACTCAATATATTAATCTCCTTCTCCGCATTATTCATGACTGACAAAAATCTTTAATTGTAATGACGTTTTTGAATATTTCATGGCTTTACATTCTCTGGGGCTTTAGATACACATTCTAGTGGGTGTTGTTGTTTTTTTGGGGTGGTGGGGGGCGTGAAAAAATGGGGTGCGTTCTCATGAGAATATTGGGTGGAACCCATGAGAAAATGAGCGGGACCCATGAGAATATTGGGTAGGACCCATGAGAATATTGAGCGGGACCCATGAGAATATTGAGCGGGACCCATGAGAATATTGGGTAGGACCCATGAGAATATTGAGCGGGACCCATGAGAATATTGGGTGGGACCCATGAGACTATTGGATGGGACCCATGAGAATATTGAGCGAGACCCATGAGAATATTGGGTGGGACCCATGAGAATATTGGGTGGGGCCCATGAGAATATTGGGTGGGACCCATGAGAATATTGAGCGGGACCCATGAGAATATTGGGTGGGACCCATGAGAATATTGAGCGGGACCCATGAGAATATTGGGTAGGACCCATGAGAATATTGAGCGGGACCCATGAGAATATTGGGTGGGACCCATGAGAATATTGGATGGGACCCATGAGAATATTGGGTGGGACCCATGAGAATATTGAGCGGGACCCATGAGAATATTGGGTGGGACCCATTAGAATATGGGTCGGACCCATGAGAATATTGGGTGGGACCCATGAGAATATTGGGTGGGACCCATGAGAATATTGGGTGGGACCCATGAGTATTTTGGGTGGGACCCATGAGAATATTGGGCGGGACCCATGAGAATGTTGGGTGGGACCCATGAATGTTAGGTGGGGCTTATAAATGTATAATTATTTTTCACAATATTTAGAAACAAAAATGTTGAGGGTCTTTATAGAGTTTTTTTTTTAGAATTTAGGGGACCCCTGGCCTGTGGGTTAATGTTACCGACCTTGAATGAAGTGATCATCTGATTGAAGTAAGCAACGCTACGTTAAAATATAATTCATGACGACATGTGATTTAAAAATAATCTATTTTTATTGTTATTCATATTTTTACACTAATCGTATATGAGAAATGATGGGATTAATTTCAACTGTTTAGCGTCGCCCTTTCACCGAACAAGACGATGCCAATGATGACATTGATCTACGAAATGGACCCATGTTGACGGACATAGACAAGTCCAGGGCCAACAGAAGAAATTGGGACATCGATATTAAACGGGAAAGGCAGATCATGAAAATAGGAAGGAAAGCCGGTAGGTCGTCGCCAGTCTTGTCTTCATGTTCATCGATACCTAATGACACAATTATCATTGACTGTCTTGATACACAATTTCCCAACAATCAAGAAATCTTGTACAATATCCTAACACTCAATAACTCTTGTACAATATCCTAGCACTTAAGAACTCTTGTACAATATCCTAACACTCAAGAAATCTTGTACAATATCCTAACACTTAAGAACTATTGCACAATATCCTAACACTTAAGAAATATTGTACAATATCCTAACACTTAAGAACTATTATACAATATCCTAACACTTAAGAACTCTTGTACAATATCCTAGCACTTAAGAACGTCTTTACAATATCATAACTTAAATGTGGAACACTTTGTTTTTTCAAATACACTCGTAATAGAATATCCTACTATAAAAATGTTTTACCTACTGTGGTATTATACTACGTGTTAATGACCAAAAAATAAAAAAAGATAAGTTTTAACATAACGCGATTCTTTTTCAAACCACAGCAACCTTCTTGAAGTTTTGCAAAACCTGTTTGGACAGAAAGAAAATTTGCTGCGAAAATCTTCCATGTGGGCACATGACAAACTGCTGTGATTGCGCACCCCTGGTGCTGAAATGCGCCCAGTGCGCCCAGGATATTAGAGGGACAAGCCCTATTCAGGACATAGTCTGGAAGTTTCTTGTACATTCTACAGTTTCTGGAATGTTCTTAGAGAATTCATATGAATTTTCTCTACCAGCACTGTAGAATTACATTTCAAATCATTCCAATGCTTTGTCTTGTATTGGTAGTTAATGCCTTTTGTTTCTCTGTTTTGTTTTTTTTTAATTGCATTGTTAGTTCGTGGTTGTGTCTTCCCTGTTCGTTTCAAATTTAGCCCTTATCATTTCTCATTTTTTTAAAAATAGAAATATTTAACACTTATTACGATTTTTATCCTAAAATGTTGATTAAAGTGTCACAAATGACTGGGACGGGGGTACAGGACAGAGCTCCATTGTTGTTAAGGTAACTTATAGGATGGAAGGAAACTGCTGTTAATGGGGTTAAGTTAAGGTTAATAGACTCTCACATCTTGATATAGTGGGGATTGTTTCTTTGGATAATAGTATGTTCGGGTTTTCCAGACTTCGCGTGATAGTTTTTGGGTTAACAATGGGAAGGTCTAATTGACCGGAAATTAGGGGGACATGGGTGTGTTTATAGATATCATTCCTGGACCACCTATGGGGTTAGAGAATCACATATAAGAGGGAGCTTTCACTGAGTTAAAGGAGTTGAGGAAGAGGGAACTGAGGTACGACGTAGCTGAGGAAGAGAGAGAAAAGAGCTACGATAGAATCAAGCAGTTGTTAGGGAATAGTTGCTAGTGATCAGGAGATGACAGATGACTAGAAGAGCTTATATCTTACAAATAAACACTTTCATTATCGTTGGACACCTGGAGTTTGAGTTGTTGCATTTCGTTCAAGTCTACGTTGTGCTTTTGTCTGTCTCAACGCCTAGACACCCACCATATAAATCACAGAGAGGAGCGGTCCTGTACTGACCACTACTTAGTCAACACAGTTCGTGGTAAGTCAGGACCGGAGCCCTCCTCCGTAACAACCGTTCTGTGACATAAAGTACGCCCCGAGATTCCACAGGTGATGGCTTGGGTTGTTGATATTACAGCTTTTCATCAAATTTCCATTGATTCACAGATATGTCATTAAAAAAAAAAATAATCAAAAGTTTTCTTATTATGTTTACCAAAAGTGAAAGTTTACAATTCATCTAAATGTTTCCTTTTGTGCGGATCTTTTAAAATGTATTTGTTGTTCATAAGTGTTTTGTTTTTCTACAAATAAAAATTCGGACAAAAGTATTCTGAGCCTCTTTTTAATATAAAAACACCTAGTGATGTCCGCCCGCTGGCATGCTATAGCCACATCCGGGCTCCTCGAGGCTTACAGTACGAAATCAAGCTCGTGAATAGGTCACGAAAGGAATTTTTGCATCATTATCATTATGAAAAAAAATATATATATTTTTTAAAACGTATTTAAATAACTATCTTTGAACCAAAACATTTCAATTATTAAAACTACAAGATATCAAAACGTTGCATTTGGTTTGCGAGATAGAAATGTTCAACGTAATGCACAATAGCTGGTACTTGGCTTCAAGTCAAAATGGAAAACAAGTTTATGAGGTGACAAAACTCGTATGAAATATATTTATTTTTAAAGAAGAGAGATGACCTTAATAACAGCATGATGTTTGGGGAAGATGTTAGTAACTATTTAACGTTTGATATTTTCCGATTCATTAAAGTGTGAAAGCCTAAGTTTCCACACAAACAATGCCAATGATGCCTACTGTGTGGACGGCAGCAGACTGGTGAAATGAATAGTTTCTTAATCGTCGAATTCTTGAATAGTAGCATCGCGGCCCTGAGAAAGCCGCTCCTAGGCAACCGTGTCGTCCCCGCTTACGTCTCGACCTGACAACTCTCTGGGCGTTGGGGGGAAGAAACGAATCACATTTCCCCCGGAGAGGAAGCAAAGCCGTTCAGGCCCAAGGAGAGTGGACCGCGAACGCTTTAAACGCAGTGTTTTCGGTCGACCAGACGTGCCCCAGGCCAGGGGGGAGTTTCCCGACGTGCTCCTGCACGGTCTGGTGGCGGGCAGACCCGGCGCCTGGCCCGCGTGGAGGTGTGCCGGGGGGGGGTATTATGAGCTCGCGCTCGACGACCCACAGACGCCATCTCCAAAGTGACGTTATTAGTAGTAGCCTGGACTTGAGCGGTATTGACATCTTCTGATGTTTAGACATTATATGACATCTTCTGGTGTTTTGACATTATATGACATCTTCTGATGTACTGACATTATACTACATTTTCTATTGTACTTCTGACCGATTCACTTGGATTTCTGTTGGCAACACATGTAGTGTAGTAGTCACCATTCATTACCCCAATAAAGCAAGTCATCGGTTCTGGTACTTCATCACGGTAATCCAACATCTCACTTGGATTGTAGGCTGCATCAAAAGCTGACGTCATTTGGTTATGCTCAGCTTTCAATTACTCCTCTAAAGTAATAATCCAAACAATCCAAACAAAGTTGGCATTTGGAATCCCTCTCCCCCCCCCCCTCTTTTCCGGCAACACACAAAATCTAAACCCGAAATTTAGGGAAATGAACCGTGAAGA